TGTGATTTTCCGTAAAAGGTATTTGACCTCAGAGGGATTAACAGCTTTAGGTAGGTAAGGAGAGTGGGATAGGTATTGAGAGGGATTCTTCTACTTTTACTGTGTGGCTGGGATGGGATTCTGGATGAGGAGCGAAAGTATAGGAAAGGTGTTTGGCAAATTCCTCGGCTTTATCTTCATCAGATGCTGCCCAGGAGCCATCATCTCGTCGAAGAGGGTGGGAAATATGATGGGATTTGAGGATTTTTCTGGTGATATTCCAAAGGGAATTATCATGAGCAGAGAGTGTGGTGAGGTAGGAATTGAATGATTGGGATCTGAAGGTGGCTAATTCTTTTTTTTAATTTTTTACAGTGATAATTGTAGGAGTGGCGGTCGGCTGGATGTCTGGTACGTTGCCATAATAATCTGGCACGGCGTTTTATGTGGATTAGGTCAAGGAGGTGTTGAGGTAAATTATGTTTCTTAAGGATTTTTGAGGAGTGATCAGGGGAGGAAGCAGTCCAGACTGCTTCTTGAATTTTGGTAGTGAAGGAATGTACTGCATTGTCCAGGTCTTCAGAGGTTTTCAGGGTTACTCTGAGGTCAATTTTATCGGAGAGGATTTGATGAAAGAGTTTCCAGTTAACTGGGCCTCTGATGAAGGACGGAGGAGAGGGTTTAGGAATAGGAGCTAGTGATACTTGGAGTATTAATGGGCTGTGGTCTGAGGAAAGCTCGTCAAGACGGGCAACGGAATGGTTGAGAGCACCTAAACCATTATGGATAAAGAAATCGAGGATATCGGGATTACGGTTAGGATCAGTGGGCCAGTAGGTAGGTGAGTTGGGTGGAAGAAGGGTAAAATTTTGGGAATTGAGTACAGACAGCAATGTTCGACCACGAGAATTCGTGGTTCTTGAACCCCATTGTTGATGCTTGGCGTTTAAGTCTGCACCCAAGATGAAATGATGTCCTAAGGAAATGAGGAAGAAACTAAATTGGATATTGGAGATGGATTGGTTTGGAGGGCAATACGCTGATGCAACGGTAATAGGAAAGGAGAAGGTTTTGATTACGACTGCGGTGGATTGTAGGAAATCGTGTGTAGGCAGTGGGAGTAGGTGATGGGAGAGGGATTGGTGCACAATGACTGCAGTACCGGCATGTGCTCTACCGTCAGGATGGTCGGTACGGTAAGTTATGTATTGTGGTATTTTTAGGAGCTGTTTTTTAGTCAGTCGAGTTTCCGTTATTAGGGCTACGTCTACGTTCTTGTCTTGTAGTAAGGCTGTTAGTTCGTGTATGTGATTTCTAACACCATTCGCATTCCAAAGGAGAATGGATATGGGTTTGATGGAAGTCATTTAAGGATTTTTTTAAAGGAGGGATAAGGTGAGATACTAGGTTAGTCAGAAGTGATATCAGTGGGGTAACAAGGGATTTAAATTCTGAAAGAAAGGATGTCAATAAGCTGGTTAGATCTGTAGCATTAGGCGGTGGAGGAACATATTGGATTTGATGTTGGTGAGGTTGTTGTTGATTAGGTACATTAGGTGGGATAGGATATTGAGATTGGGGTTGAGTTTGTTCTTGCGGCAGGGCCTCACATACATTAGTCGGGTCTCTACCCCCAAGTAGCTTGGCAAAAGAAACCTTAGAGTTCACAATTTTAGCGGGTCCTCTTCTTGGTTTAGGTGTATCATCAGGGTCCCTGGGTTTCATATATCTCGCTTTAAGATTTTTATAAATTTGGCAGCCTTTGTAGTTGGCTGGATGGCTTTCCAGGCATAGGGCACAGACTGCTGGTTCTGTAATTGGTTTATTACACTCGCCAGACTTGTGTGTTTTACCACACTTCACGCAGCGTGGTAAGTGGTGGCAATAAGACTTGGTGTGGCCATATGCTTGGCAATTATGGCACTGGATGAACTCTCTTTTTGGGTACGGTTTTTCGACCTTTACGCTGGTGTAGAAAATTCTATTCACATCGTATATTTTTTCGAGAGTTGTAGTAAACGAAAAAGCCACTAGAGCGCTATTCTCTTTGTTACAGAATGAAAGACCTTTTTTTTTTCTATGAAATTACATTTGATAAGATTTCTAACTAATCAAAACCTAACATAACATCTTGAGAAAAATTTCGAATGAACTCATAATGTGTTCATGTATGGGTTGTAATGACGGTTATTGTCTGCAATAGATCTTCTCTTATTCATATAAATGTATTAAATGAGCATTATGATATAATGTAGTATATTTATAGTTCTGTCAACAAAAAAGTACATAAATAATGCTAACAATTTCTTAACGTTACATGAAATTTTTAAACAGCAAAATCACTCGTGTCTTAAAATATGAGAATACCAGCTAGCAATTTTTTCATAGTATTCACGTTTTAAAACTTACTATCGAATGTACAAGCCCTTAGTCTACGTAGCTCGTTTTTTATTTGGTTTCTTATACTTACTTTATGCTTCGATTTTTACAAAGTTATAACAATGAAAACAAATGAACAGTTATAACTATGTCGAATACTGAACCAAATTTAATTTTTTAAATATTTATTCGTCCATAAGTGAGACATTTCAAAGATAAAATAAATAACTTCTCTCTTATTAAGAATTGAAAGTATCTATTCAAGATACCTAAGATAAATACCGTTAATTTTTTGTATAACCACTGAAAATTGCTCATTAATTTGTGTTGTTAAGAGCTAAATAGGGGAAACTGGAGAAAATAGTTATTAGGCTAAGTTCTAGGGGTGTTAAGGAATGATAATATAGTACAAAAAGTGTGATTGGAATACTTTCATTTTAAGGGTTTTCCGCCTGTGAACCACTTTGCGACGTTTCGAACTATACGGTTGATCCTCAATTAGATTATTTTGGACTTATTCTTCTTTATTAATAATTGTAACTTTTTTTTTCTAACGGTCTTAAGTCTCTCATATAATGCAATTTGAAAAAAATGTAATATTCTAATAAATAAATTGCTCCAAGCATGATAGATAACTTATAAACATGGATAAGCAAGTTATCCATTATAGAAGATATCTACAATTATCAGTAAAGAAGAGAGCCAACATAATGCTATTAAGGATAGACCAGATAGCTTGAAAATTGGAGTTTGAAGGTATTAATTTTTTCTTTAAATTATATTATATAATAATTTCTAAAATATCTTTTTTTTTTGGATCTTTTCCATTTACATTATAAGCTCCGTCTTATAATTCCTGAAGAATTTTTCTTTATTCATTACTTTTAGTTACTGATTTTTCGGGCGTAAGAGTTGTTCAAACGAGGTTTGTTTATATTTTAATCATACTTGGAAGAATTTAGCTTAAAATTGTGAAGAAATAGTTGGCTGTGGATTATATGTGAGGGAAGTTATTAAAGGGTTGCTGTCACAGTGAGAAACACATATAAAAAAAAAGAAATATCAAAATTAAACAGAGAAAAATTTCCATTTTAGTTTTTTTATTTAAAGGTTCGAGACAATGAACTGAACAATAAATTCTCCAAAGCTTCAAAATTTTCCACGTGAAATGTGAAAAAGGTGTACGTGAGTGAATCATAAAATTCGGGAGTATGTTTCTATCTATAATTGTCTTGGAATATAATGTAAAATTTCATTAATAGGAACATACAACGTGGTAAAATACTTGCGTATCTACTTCTAGGTCTTAGCTTAGCCATCTAGTCGACTCATACTATTTTCTTAATTGGTTTTAGTTTACAAATTTTATTCATTCGTGTAGATTAATTGTTATCGATTTTGATTTAATTTTTGTTCTTCGAAATATTAGGAGAAGGAGAAGGGGGAGGAGGACGAAACGACATTTTCGCTCCTTCTCTATTTTTATAGGGGGGATATAGCCTCCTCGCCCCCTTTCTCCTCCCCTCTCCGAGATCCTGTGTCTATGCTAGCAGATGTTGAAGAAAAGAAGCTTACGGTGGATAGATTAAAATAATACTGCAAAAATAGAGGGATAAGGAAAAAAGTGCGACCGAAGATAAAACGGAAAGACGAACTGGAAGAAAGCCTGACAGGACATGGCGTCAGGGAAGATCAAGCTTAGGAAAAATATTTTAGATGACATTTAGCTTACATTAATCCCAAATCCTCTAATAAAAGAAATATATCTAAATTAAAAAAGTAGAAATAAATTTTTTTTAAAAATTTATTTAACCAATATACCTAGGACTCCACCTGATCAAACGTCTAACTTGGAATCCTCATACCAGAATGAAACGACAAGAAACAGCTCGATGTTTCCGACAACTTCAACACTTACTAGACAAACGCTCTAACCTTCCAATTAATTATAAAAGGCTCATTTACATGACTATAATAAGGCCTATTTGGACTTACTGAGTTGAGCTATGGGGCTCCAACAAACCTCCAAATTCCTCTCGTATCCAATCTTTACAATCCAAAATCCTTCGTAAAATCCTCAATGCTCCTTATTTTGTTAAAAATAAAATCATCCACAGATACCTTAATGTTCCTTATGTATCAGATTTGGCCCAATCCAGATATCTGTCCTTCCATAATAAACTTCATAACCATCCCAATCAACTTGTTTCTAACCTTGCTTCCTATTCAATTTCTGATAACCCTCCGAGGCGTCTGAAAAGAAGATGGCCTCGTGATCTCCTAATATAGACATATTATTAGAGTGCTACCAATGGGTAGTTTCTCAACATGTGTTTCATGTCATTATATCCAAGTGCGAATTTACTAGATGTATATTTTTTTATACAGTTGTAAATATCATATAAATAGAAAAAAATGTATTTCGTTTTTATTTGTTGATATTTGCAAAATCATGTGATGTTTTTGAAAGTCTGTATATCGGAATTGTTAAAAGATTCAGTAGAGCATTAATTAAGTTAACTAAAGTTTCAGGAAAGACATACATTACCGACGTTTGTATAAATAAAAATTGTTAACAACACTAATATAATTAATATATCTATGTATATTTATATAGATGTAAGTTGTATATATATATTGATATAATCCTTGCCACGGTAACCGGCGAGGAAGTGGCGGTAGTAGGGGGCGGTGCGTGCGATATGCTATCAGTCAGTGGCGATGTGGCCTGCCGTGCGGTGCCATAGTTCTACCACCTGCGGTAAGCCCCACGTATATACACATGTACCCATCTATACCTATATATACCTTTCTACATAGTCCACCTTGAATATGTGATATATTTACTCAGTCAGCATCGTACCACCTATGCAAACTAACTTGCTAACCTTCCTAAAACAGGTTCATATATCTTCCCATCCGCTTGTTTTTTCTCTCTGTATTTTTTTTTATTAACAATAAAATTAAAATCGCTTTTTATTTATAAATAATATCACAGAGATCTGGTAGAAATTATGCAGACCGTATATTTCCTAATATAGATCGTTGAAAAAATATATTAATATTGATATCTTATTACTAGTAAAACCTTTTTTTTTTTTAGAATAAATTTTATATTTAACAAACCAACAGTGATTATAAATAAAGCGGTGGCAAATTACGTGAAAATTATAATTTAAATTAAATTTAAAAAAATAAAATAAAATAATAAATATTCTCTGAATTTATTCCTACAAACCTATTGATCTCATCTAAAATCAGGTCATATATGTGTATATACCAGTTTTGTATTTAGTAAAAAAAAAAGATTAAAATATTTCACAAAAAGTTTGAAATTAGCTATAGATTAACCCAAAGTTAATTCATTAAAATAATTATTTTCTAAAATTATAATAAATGATGAGTTCACAATATTTGTTCTATATATCAAACATGCAAGTACAATAAACTATTTTTAATTGTTTTCTTGACTAAATAATTAAAGATATAAAACAAAACTTTAATTAGCATGAAAGAAAATCTGAACATAAAACAGACAATTATTTTATTTTACCAAAAGTATTTATTTATTTCACTCTTGGTCTCATCGCTCTTCCGACTATCCGATCAATCTGAAATTTGGTTGAAACAAGTTGATAAACCTGTACGAAGTATGAAGACGGCTTTGGTGATTTTGCCACAAAAATATCATAAAAAGGCTGCTTACAATTCTGTAGATACGGTATTTGTTCGTATTAAAAAAACAAATAGTAAAATTCTGGTACTGTGTGCGCATCACACAACTTTCACACACCTACCTACTTCGAATAGAAACAGGTATTGCGATATCGCCTTAGGTAAGTGAAAGGAAACATTCTAGTTGGTACGATTTATTCATTTGAAACACTTAATTACAACATATTTTTTCACATCCGGTCAATCTGTTAAATTTATGCCTTTTTCGTTGCTGTCCATTATCATCTATTAATATTTTGGATATTAATTTTTCTAAAATGTATCTATACCCTTTTCATTTTCGAATATTTGTTTACATCAGAAAAAATATTCTTTCGCAGATAATATATCCATTTTTATCGCTTCTAACAACAAGAAAGATTTATCAATTCCCCCTGACATAAAAAATCAATATTTTAATAGTTTTGGATGGGAAGTAATTTGAGATATGTCTCGACAAATTGTAATAGGTTTGTTTGATTTTCTGCTTAAGTCAGTTTTAACCCCCCAATATTTTATTTTCTAGCTAAATAATACTTGACTTATTGTATAATTTTAAGTATAATAACATTAATATTAATTACGGAATTTATTACCTTAAATATTATTATAATACTACTTCTTGGTAGTTCATAACCACTCCTCAGGAGAAGGAGCAGACAAATTTATGGTTGCCTCTTTGAAAAACATTGTAGTTCCAGCCATGCTATATAATAAAAGAAATATTATTTTGATTAGTAAGTGTTGTGGTTGGAATTTGGTATTTCTAGTTTGATTTTACTTCACTTGAAAAGTTTCCTATTTTTCACTTATTTCCTCCTCTTTACCGCTAAGTCGTGGGAGGTTCCTTCTTATAGAGCCTACTCCAAAAATCTCTATCCTGAGCTAGCTACCTGCTCATCTTCTAGTCCATTCCTCTCCTTCCAAATGCTTCTTTAATTCCTTCTTCCCAGATCTTTCTTGGTCTTCCCTGTGGCCGCCTTCCCTGTCGTGAGTAGCTCTGGTAATTCTGTCTTCACTCCTGCCTTCACTATGTCTTTGAAGGAGCTTCCATCTTCAGTTTTCATCTGCGTTAAAATTTTACTTCTTGAGTTCTAATTTTTAATTTTCATTAGTGACTAGCACCTGGTTGTCAGCGAACTGCAGGCTGTTAGATCGTTTATCATATAATTTATGTTTCTTACGTTAAAAATAACGTCATATTTTTCTTACGATTCAATATTTAAAAATCATTTAATACTTTTTTATACTTATATACTTATACTTATATACTTATATCTTTTGCCTTATAGAAGAAGATTATTTGTTATAAAGACTATTATTATAATTATATCATAGTGGAACTAATTGCTAGTCTTAATTTTTTATTTTTATCCTAATTTTTTTTTATCCTTTCCTTCCACTTCTTTTCGGCTATACGGGCTTTTCCCAAGACAGGGGGTGAGAATGGGGGATTAATGCCATAGTTAAAAGCCCTCCGGCATCGGGACGCGAACTCGTAGTTATTATATCAAATTGTCCTCCATCAGGTTGGCGGTTAACTCGGTGCTGTGCACACACGTTAGCCCGCTCGGCCACTCTTAATTGCCAATCTTACGGTAATTTGCATAACATTTTAGTATTGAGAGATAAATAAATAAAAATATATTGCAATGCAATGTTATAATGCAAAATGACTCCATTTGTTCTCATATAACAATAAATATAAGAAAGGATGTATCAGATTTCTTCTGTTGCTGTACTTCAGCTAATTTATTTTTCTTATTATTTTTAAAAAAATCATTAAGATAAGGAGTTGGTTGGAGATTATTAAAATAGTATTTTATTCGTATTTATTTAATTTTATTCGTATATTCGTATTATTAAAAAAGTATTTTATTAACAATTTAGTATTTATTTGACCGCACCCCCCAACCAACTCCTTCTCATATTATATCACGGTCAACCATTTCTAAACCATTAGAAAAATTAATTTTAAGTGAATCTTGAATGCGTACTTTTCATTACAGATCGTTTGGAATCTCCAATTGTAAAAAATGAGCCGAAAATTATGCTATTTTTAGGTTTTGAGAATTCATAACCTAATTAACTAGGAAAATATGTAAATTTTACCTATATTAAAATTTTAACTTAGTGATAGATATTAAATTTATTAATTTAGTGCATTTCAAACATTGCAATAGCTTTGCAAATGTTATTATACAATATAAAACTATTGTATGATGAGCTATGCTAAAATTGAAATGGGTGCAGCCTAAATACAAAGCAATTGAAGAACTGAGGAAAGAGTTTTTCTTGTGTTGAAACAATAGCTGCTTTCACAAAAGCGTTTCCACACCCAACTTACGTCCAAAAATAGTGTTCTTAGATTCAACAGTAGTACCTCTTATTCTGTGTAAAGTTATATTGATTATTTAAGCTTCTCTATTCTGTTGATACTTTAACAACAACGCAAAGAAGAACCAACAACAATCGTATAGATTTTTTTCGGAGATTCACTTAAGATATCTGATTTCTTATCCGACTCAGATAGCGCGAGATAAGTTAATGATAAAAACAACTGTTGACATTATCACGTATCGTCTCACAGATTATATTATAAAAAAACAAAAAAAAATTGTTTTTATTTTATTTTTCTTTGAATTTAAAACATTAAATTCTATTAGAAGTATTAACAAATTTTCAATCACCTAAAATATAATTTATTTTATTGTTATTTTTTATTTCTTGTTGATGGTTTGGTCAAGGTTAGTAAAACTTGGTATACGTCGAGCTTTTAGAATTTTCTAAAATGATGAATCTAATTTGTTGCTCTTTTCACACAGGAATGGCTACTATGCGATAGTCGATATACACTTGAAACTTCTCTCCAGGATTCAAATTTGAATTTAGGTCTTGTTGTTAGTAATAGTAGAAGATATACCTGCCTAAGTGACTTAAAATTACAATAAAAACATAAATAAGGTATTAGTAACTTAATTATTAAATTCAATAACTTTTACAAAGGAAAAAAAATTTCAAATCCGTAACATTGCAGCTTATTTTATGATTTAACCAAAACGAGTGATGATCCCAGGGAGACAATATGTTTTAAGTTTTTTTGTTTTTTTTTACTTTCAACATATCCAAATCGTTATACCAAGATTTTCTAGGTCCCTTTTCACAATATGAATTCAACGTCTCCGAGGTTGTCCTCTCCTTCTGGTACCATACATCTTTCCAAGCGGAATTCTTTTTTGCATCCTCACTTCATTCATCTGTGCCACGTGACCCAACCATTCAATTCTACTTGGTCGTATCAAGCGGACAATGTCACAAGATCCATATAGCTCATATAGTTCGCTATTCTTTCGGATTCTCCATTCACCCTCTTTCAATACAGGTCCATAAACTATCCGGAGAATTTTTCTCTCAAAAAACTCCAATTTTGGCGGTGGAAAGGGTCCAAGTTTCCGCAGAATATGTCAGTACTGGTCTTACCAATGTTTTATACAATCTTATTTTTGTCGTTCGTGACAAGCAGCGATAAGCGGAAGAGTTTTATGTTTTGACTATCTAGGACTAGAAAATAAAATTTCATCACATTCTAAAAAGTAAATTTTTTCTGGCTTTAAATATAATTTTGTAGTTATGTCGAACTTACCTGCACATAGTCTAAAATACATAATATTTAATATAATTTAAACAGGTACACGATGTCACAGAGGGAACTGTCAAAAATTAACTACAAAAATGTAGGTCAGGATCGCCAAATCGCTGTCGAATTATGATTTTACAAGCTTTTAATTTTAAAAGAAACATAAAAATGTATGTCACTTAGGTCAGTGTAAATTGGGGATGGGATGGCCGAGCTTGCTAACGCGTTTTCCACTCATAAATTTTAATCTTACAGTAATATTTAATATCCAATATAGTCTGTTTAATTAACCAGGCAAAGAATCTGTTGTATCTAAAAATAGAGTTCTGGCATAGTTGATGATGTTTGAGATACTCCTTCATTAACAGGTACACATAGTACATAGTTTTCTTCTCATCACAATGGACTCC